ACATTCACAGTTTTACCTCTCGTGAGCTCTTCTGTGCATACTCATACAGAACTTTCAAATTTGGTTTATCACTCTAGAAGACCTACTGGCACTGGTTGATAATTTGGGCTACCTTTGTCCCCATTTCCCTTCCTTAAGCATGGTTTCCTGACAGCCACCGTTTCATTGAGACCATTTCTAATGCTTCAGCAAACAGCACGTGGGGCACATTATATCCAGTTTTCCGTTAATAACTCTTTCTTTCGGAATCACTTTTTTTGGAGCAGCTATTGGTGAAACAATGTTATCTTTGGCATTATTCATAGATCCAACTAAAGAAATGGAAACATATATGTTTATGCAACAGAATGCTAGTAACAAAGTACCTAAAGATACTATTCAAACTGTTTTGATAAAACTAATCCAACCCTTGAATTGTGTGACTTGAATCATCCTTGAATCATTGATGGGTCAGTGTTGGTTGTCTTCACAAGACATGAAAGAAAGAAACAAAAAAACTCCTCTGTAAACATTCACTTACACATAAATGAATGAAAAGCAGTCAATGGCCAAAGGAAAACTTCAGAAATATTTCAGAAAGCCTGGAGAACTCTTATTCATGACCACATATATAGAAATGTGGGGTGACTTAAGACCTTTGGACCACCTACAATATTAAATATACCATATAACAGTTACAGGAGCGGCATGGTCATGAAAACTCATGCTATGAAGTTCCCAGTGCTCATATTCTGCTGATGTTTACGTCAGATGATTGTTGGTACTTTAGTGTACTTTTACACATTATGCGCCTCAGGATTTGACAGCTCCAATCTAACTTATGGGTGCTGTGATTTCTAAATGCATACACTTTGCAATGATACCACTTACAGTTGACTGTGGAATAGCTAGGAGGGAAGAAATTTCATGAACTGACAATGGTGACATCCTATCACAGTAACAGCAGAATGACTTATTAGTTGTTTGTAAAGGCAAACTGCATGGCTACAGGCTTGATTTTATAAACCAGTGGCAAGGGGACTAAAACCACAGTGCGGCACAATGTATTAGTGTATATACAGATATACAGTGTATATCTCAACAAAAGACGTGCGTGTTTCATCGGTAGCCAAATGAGGTTAAACTTATTATGGTTTCTAAGTCATGAGTAAATGGACTGATTCTTATATAGCACTTTTCTACTCTCCCAGAGTACTCAAAGGACTATATACAACAACCTCATTCACACCCACTCATACAAGCACTTCTAAACTCAAGAGCAAACTAACCAACATTCACACACATTCACACTCCGATGAACGCATCAGAGGGCAACTTGGGGTTAGTATCTTGCCCGAGGATAATTGGCATGCAGACTGGGGAAGCCAAGGATCAAACCACCAACCTTCCAGTCAGTAATTGATCTGCTCAACCACCTGAGCCACAGCCAACTCAGTGATTTTCAGCCTGTACGAACAGCTGTATATTTTTTCCTGTGGCTCTAGAGATTAAATTTTATCTTGTGTCAGATAAATAATCCCTACAATAATATAGAGGATGTGTGCAGTCATGAAAGATGTATGCTGTAGAATCATTCCACCTGAATGCAATCATGTGCCACAAAAGGCAGGAGAAAAGACTAAGCACCTTATCTGCAGATCTCATTTCATATCAAGCTTTGAGGGGCGTGTGTTTTCATATTTGTAACTAAATTCTTGAAAATCTGTTAAAAAACGTGGATTATTATGGATTATATAGAGACCTCTGTAGCAACCACCAATGTGGCATTCATGGTTGTATCATGGGTAATTTAGGATCCAGTCTTATAGAAGGATTAAAGGTCAGTGTATAAGGGATCCTTGCTGCTTCTATTTTGACTCTATACCAATGAGCTGCACTTTGTGTGACTGATTTACAATAAAAGCAAATCTGTTTTTGTAAAGGAGAGTGAAACAGCAGCATTAGGAAGTGTTTGGATCAGCAGTCGTTTCGAGAACAGAAAATGCACTGTGGTGGTCTGAGTCGAGGGGGAGAATGGTGAACCTTTCCACTAACAATGATTATTAAACAACAGAAACATTTACAGAGGCAAACTGTCATGAATATCTATTTTTCCAAAATAATGCCAACATTAAAGCATAAAGACTGAGCTTTAACTTCATGAAAATGATCACAATTGCAATTTACAATTAAAAAAAATGTCTTCTTCACTCTCAGGTATGGAAAGCGTTCAGCTCAGGAGGACGTGGTCGCAGAGCTGCTGTTTGGTGGCGATAACAACAGAGACCAGAGATCAAGGTAAAGATCCTCAAATGTAAAAACTGAAGATGTCACATGAACTTAAAGAATTTACACTCTTCTCTCATTGGCACATTATTTCCTCTCTCTGTCTTTCAACAGATATGATGACTCTTACATGTGGTGATTCTCCTCCCTCCTCTTCGGACATTCCCTCCGGGTACATCCCAGAATGCACCTGGAGGGGCCGACATGTGCCTCTTCTTCCCTGTACTCTAAACCCAACAAAAGAGCATCTCTGACGGATCACAACCTCCCTCTGTTTCTCCTGTTGTTGTTTCACATCTCTGTCACTCCAACAAAACTGTACATAATTTATTATTAAAATAAAATATATATGTATATGAAATCACAGAAGGTGGAACTGTGTCTGTGTGTGTGTGTGTGAGCTTTGGTGTCCTTCGACTGTCCATCAGACTGGAGGAGATTCTTGTTTTGCTGTTTGTATTGTGAAAAGTAACATCATAATATGTGAATCAAATGTTTTCTGTGAGAATAAAAGTTCCCAAGGACTCATGATCTTTTCTTTTGTGGCCTTTTATGTTCATTTATAACTCCGTATTTTAATTCTACCCGCTACTATAGCTTTGCCTGATTCAGAGTTCAACAGACTTCTTATTGATCTTACAGTGGGACTTGCCTCTCAACTGATCCTTTGTCTCCAATAAGGTATTTTAACGTCCTCCCCAAAAACATTTCTAAACTTAACTAAGAGACTGACAAAAAACAATGGCTTTGTCCAAAACATCAATGTATTGTGTTGAAGAGATATATTTAAAAGATAGTAGTAATCAGTATAGTGTCCATTCTGCACAGGCTCCAATTAATGGCAAGGGAAATGCTGCTGAACGCTTAGATATGGAGGAATAGGTGCTCTGCTGAATGAAACAGCAAAGAAGCACCAGCGCCAACTTTGGGAAATAAACCACGTTTAGATTTATACAATAGGAGCAAATTGAGGATGTGCACTGAAGTCCGACTCGTAGACAGCTCTTGGAGAGTAAAGGATGATTCTGGCGGTAAACTGACATTGTTTCTTCTACATCGGTAAGAACAAAGCTTTTAATCTAAAGGTTTTAGGAGCTGCTAACAGTGCAGAAAAGCCCAAACACCGTTTAACTCCAGAAACTCCAGAACAGTAAGATGACCACATTAGCCACGGCATCACCCAGATCTCAGGACAGATATTGTATTATTTGTTTTTTAAAGGAGTTGGCAACTACACTAACACTTTCTGGTAAAACACTGCCTCCTGGTGGTGAAACTTCGGGTTAAGTTTGCAATATGTGAATACAAAAAGTACCTTTCAATCAGTTTTCTTCTGACATTTCTAAAAAATGGCAAGGATAGAGTAGCAAAATCAGGAAAATTGTTAAACACATAGCTTTAATCTTGAAAGTGTGATTTGCACATTACTCTGAACTCAGAAAATTTGAAACAATAGTTAATATAAAATAATGATATAAATAATACAGTATAAATATAAATAACCCGCAGCAACAGCGGACACAGCTCAGAAAATTAAGTTTAGCTTTAGGCCGAAATATTTTAAAAGGAAAATAATTAATAAGACCCCCCACCCCACCCCCCTCTCTCTTTTTTTCAGTTTTTCTGAGTGTTAAAAACTCTAATGAGGAGAGTTATTGATATTAACACAATCTATATCTCTTACTCTTACTGTGTCACTTGCTCTGGGTGAGAATAGATAATGCACTGAAAATGCAACTATATAGTGTTATATTTAAATAAAGACTGAAGTGCTTTCTGAGACATTTATAGCTGGTTTATACTGTCATGTTTTGTAATCTGTAATACTGAAATGTTTCTGGCAATTGAATAGTCCTTGTGGAACTGAGTCAAACTGCAATGTGTGTGTGGGTTTAATTGTTCTTGGACAACAAAAGATCATTATGGTGTGGATGAATAAGATGCATCAATGTGTCACAGGATATGCTGACAGTAACAAAATATCAAGCTTAAATGAAAGTTATCAGGTTATATGCTTAGGGAAACATACAGGGTTAATATGCAGTGCACAAAAGAAAGAGGGTTTACTGTGGGGACAGAAGATTTAGGAGTATTGAGCTAAAACACACAAACACAAACAGCTGCAGTAATGGTAATTTCCTCAGAGACCAGATCTTATTTTATTGTTGAATTTGGGGGGCATGAAGCAAAAGAAAGGAAGAATTAATCCCAGAGCACAGTCATGCTGAAGGCAAAGATGGCCTAATAATACCAGGGAGAAAACCAACATCACATTGTCAAAGGTATCTTTCTCACTGGTATCATTATGTTTCTTTTTATGTATTTTATTTGAGTATTTCTAGGACAAACTGTGATGGAAAAACAAAAGCTCTCACACTTACACATTCTTCTCATAGCTCATGTATTAATTATAACAATAGAAAAAAATGTGAAAGCAAAACAAGCACTGGCCCTTTAATGCACCTCTACGTAAAGCACCGGGAATATGGTCAATTCAACCGGAAGTCTCTTGATTCTAAGCGTTAAAGTATTACATTCCCATCCCGCTTCTTGTTTACCTGCATGCTTTATAATTTTTATTTCAGTGGCAACTCTTACTTTTATATAAATATAAAAATATAATGCTTTAATAATTCAATTTTATTGTAGCTTTATTCGCTAAATGCCCTTTATTCTGAAGTTTTCTCGGAAGTTGTGTATTTTTCTGCCTCTTCCAGTCACAGAGGGAACCGAGAAACCAGACGACAACAAAAAGCGCACGAGACATCACAGACGGCAGGAAGCGTCTCTTGTTGTGTTTAAAGGTGGGTGAGTTTGTTTTTATGTGTCGCAAATATCATTTTATTAACAGACGACGTCTTATCATTAAAGTATCCTAATAAAAGGGTTGTTTATTTAAGGGAGCAGATACACTAAAGCTAGGTTGACAAAGGTGCGCGCGTGTGCGCGCGGTTCTCTCAGTGTATTTAAATAACCGCGCGCCACTAGCGCTACATTTCATTTGTGATGTTTGGTTAGCATCTTCCTTTGTCAGACAGGCTATCTGCATGTCTTTCTGTCCCCCTCTCCTTTTGTGTTTGTGTGTGTGGTGCTTTGTTATGTATGACTCCTGAGATTAATTAGTAGACTTCTCTGCTTGCACTGGTGTATTTGCACCTGTGTCGTTTATTGTGTGTTTGCTGAGGGATTCATTGGTTATGTTAATGGTAGTGTAGTTAGGCTACCAGTTAAACTGTTTTAAGACTTAGAGTCACACTCACCCTGACAATTTTATGACAGTTTGTCAAGCTAGACTCATCTGTCCTAATACTTGACAAATATAGCTTTTTTAAAATTGCTTAATAAAGCCATAATATTAAATACCATAAATCTCTTAAAGTTTTTTCTTTTTTATTATGTATTCTAACAATTCAATAACAATTCTGAGTAATTCTCTTGCTGTTGAAGTTTAGTAACTGACATGATTTGTGTGTTTGTTATCATCTCAGAGACTCAAAATAATAATAATGATTAGAAACAATAATCACACTACATTTGTCATCAGTTAAGTTGTAGTCCAGCTATTATATCTGCTTGGTTGGGATTTTCCTTTTGAAATGGTAAAATAGTACAAAAGAAAATGCGGATAAAACAGCACTTTAGCTCAAGTCTAAGGAATAAATCGTTTGAAATAACCAGCTTTACTAAATACAGGATAACGACACAGTTTAAACCATGTTGGCATGTAGTACAGCACACAGCCAAACAGCTTTTGCCGGCATGTGCTTTCTACAATTGTTTCTTTACATACAGCAGGCCTGTCCTGGTGTAGCTAAGCAGATGGATGATGGTGGGGGGTGAATGGAGGAGGGGCAGGGATGTTGCATAAATAAGGGAGTAATAGAGAGGAAAGGATGGGAGGAAGGTAAGAAGGAGGGGAACATCATTAAGGGGATCTGCAAGCAAGAAAAAAGGATTAAAAAAGCAGAGGGGAGTGAGACAGCAGGACAGAGTGCAGAGCTGAGGAAGCTGTGAGGGAAAGAAGTGTTAAAAAAAGTGACGATGAAGCAGGAGGACGAGGAGGGGTGTTTGTTGGAACGTGTGAGGAAGCAGAAAGCCAATGGACTTCACAGCATTTTAAACACAGTCATTAATGTGTCTGTGTTGGGCTGTTATTGTAGTTGACATGTACAGTAGCTGAGCAGCCTACTTCATCCACATAGAATGAGTCCACGTCCTCATCAGTAATATCAACAAAAGAGAAAAAGTATTGTACTCCCATACTCATTGTCATACAGCTCAGTGAAGTTATGCTGCTACTCACGATGTGCATTTATTTGATGAGTCATACATACACAGTGTGAGTTCAGTTCAGGCGCACCGTCCGTGGTTCTACTTAGATTTGCAACATCTGTTTTTTGTTTTTTTCACACTGAGGATACACACACACACACACACACACACACACACACACACACACACACAAACGGAATAAACTAGGTGACTCATAACCAAAATAATTTAGTTGGATAAATGGTACTACAGACTGGAGTAAAATGTAAATATGTAAATATGATTTGGGGGTGCCCCTTTTAAGAGCAGTGGGCAGCCAGTAGGCTAGTCCCTTGGTCAGGGGAATTAACCTGACGTGTTTTCAGTTTGGGAAGAAACTGGAGCTACTGGAGGAAACTGGAAGAACAGATTGAAAAAGGAAGGCGCAGGTTTGAACTTTAAAAAGTTTCACTGTGAGACAACAGTGCTAAGCACCGAAGCATCCTATGCTCAGTCAGTTTCTCTCTTTTATGGTGTTCATTATTATTCATGGAGTTTTGCTGTCGCCAGTCTAGACCCAAACAGGTCAGGGTAGTATCCAAGATTAAAATCTTGTAATGTTTTCTTTCACATTTGTTGTCATCAGCTTGGATAAAATGTGCATCAAAGCTGGATGATGGTGTGAATCTCATCTTTCAGACATTATACTTTACATCCAGTCCATCCCGTTCCACACGTTTCACTCTTACAGCTTCTCCTTTTACGTCATCCACTTTTGCCTGAGGTGTTGTGTAATGCCTACTCTAGTATAAACAGCAGGGTGTGTATGTGAAGGCAAAACTGAGGGAAGATGAGTTTCCATGGCAGCCACAAACTGCAACAGCAGCTTGTCATAGCAACAAGCATAGATAAATGCATAGATAGATAGAAAGCATTAAAGGGGATGTGTGCCTCTTTGTTCCCTTCTCACTTTCTCTGTATTGCCATTGTATCGTGTGTGCTGTCTTGGCAGTGTATAGATTAGTCACACCCACATGCCCTCCCCCTCCCCTTTTGCCAGGCATGTTCAATTCCAGAACAATCAGTGGAGCTCCACCCTCAGTCGCTGACATCACTGCACCCTGTGTGTTTGTCGTGCTGCGTTATGGCGGGGAGGGGGTTCAAAAACACGAGCATACCGTATACACCCGCAAACATTCCCACGTGCAGCAACTGAGCAGTGCAGTTTTATCTCATGCTAATTTATAGCACACACTGAACCCAGTCATCAGTTATTATCACGCGGTTGTTACTCTCAGTCAGCAGGATGGCAGCATAAGTCTCGACAGAAAAGGATGATTAAAATGTTTAACATGAATATTTTAGACTGCTGAATCTGCTTTTTTAAATCATGCTATAAAAATAATTACTAAAATGTCAGAACTGAACAGAAAAACATGTTAAAGCCCAGATTTGGTTCTTCATATATCTATGATAACTGACAACTCTCCAATTTTTTGGTCTCATATCCACTTCTGTCAGATGATCACTAAAAAAACTCAGAGCTGTAGTGCATGTGAGATATATCAGCTCAGCTATTTAGCTTCAGGCCTAAATGGATAAATAGCTACCCTGGCTGTAGTGTTTATGTTTCTATGCCAGTACATTACTTGCAATTGTGCTCTCCCCTTTTTCTTCTTCCTGCAGCCATTTATAGGAGTAAAAAAGCCTGGTAAAATCATATAAGCTCAAAGGCTGTTTTTAAAAAATGTGTATTACTGAGGCTGTAGTGGTGTACTGCACTGCGTGTAAGTGGTGCAGTGGCCTATATATTAAGAGTGTTAACTTGTCCAATTGGTTCCAATCTTGAGGCTTTTATTCATGTGAAAGTGTTTATCTTTGTATTGCAAGTTGCCCAGTGAGTTTAAAAGCAGGTGGTTTGCACGGCATGAATAGAGGACATCATCATTTGTACTAAATCATCCCCATCTGAATGTAGCAGCGAAGGAAACAAGCTTTTTTAAAATGTTGGTGTTCATTGAACGTCTTTATCATTATTGTCAGTGTCTTATTTTCAGACCTGCACTTACATTTATTTTGTTGATCATTCTTTCCTTTTTTTCTTTCTGTCCTTCTCAGATTTACTGCAGCTCTACCATGCCCGTGGCCTCCACCAGGACAGAGCCTGGTGAGACCAAACACTATACTCCACATCAGCTTAGCATCGCCACATGATTGTTTTTTTCTGTTTTCTTTATTCACAGCTCTCTCCTAAAATCCAGTTTCACAAAAGATTAAAAACCAGAAATATGAGAATGTGTTACTAATCTGAAAAATGGTGGTATTTGCTCTTTGTAAGCTAATTAATGATAACAGATGTTTTAGAGTTACAGCTACACTGTAGAATATCCTCCAGGAAACGACTGATGCCCCCAAATACCAATATTTATGATAGCGCTGTAGTATATATATATATATATATATATGATGCTGGTTTGCTTACACCTGTGGCCTTTGATTACATCTGGTAATATCAAATTCAATAATATGAAAATACTAAAATAAATAAAAATGAAAAAATTACATAATTGCAGCTTGTTACATTGTAGCATACTTCCCTTGAATATGACTAAATATAGAAATTCTTAAATTCACTGCAGTTTTGTACATAACAGCACTGCTGTAGGCTGTATTTATGAGTCATAATCTAGTTTTCTTTCATTTTAAATTTCAACTTTAAACTTTAACCTTAAGGCAGCATTCCGGCTAACAAGCTGTGCTGGCAAGTTGAAATTTTCTCAACCTTCCAAAGCAAAGCAAAGCAATACATGTACAGTTCATTTCTCTAGCACATGATTTTAGCCTGCAGCTTTCTGTTTTCTTCTCTTTGTTCAATGTTGTCGTTCCTAAAGCCAAAAATGCATCCAAACAACAGACCGTGTGCCACCACACTCGGTAGTATGTTTTAAAGGAGACAGTACACACTGGGGGGAGTATTAACTGAATTTAAAGACAAAAAATGTCAATTTGAGGTCCTGAATGTCGGTTTTGATTGATTTGTCAGCCCTACAGTATCCCCTACCTGACACAACACACAGTCTGCAGCTTTTTTAACCCATGCCATTAGATTAATATGGAGTTATAAACTCATACTCGCGTAAGTATCTATTTTTGAAACTAAAAGGATGTTGAATTCCAATGAGGAATTTCCCTATAATGAGCAGAATTCAGACAGTTACATCACAGCTTTGTTAAAACCAGGAAGCCAGGTGCTTGTTTAAAGCAGAGTTACAACTATAGACACAAGCTCTGTGTCATTTGTTACGGTCTCATTTACCATGTTTCCCTTACTTAATGTTGTTCTTCCCTTCACTGTGTGTGTGTGTGTGTGTGTGTGTGTGTGTGTGAGTGTGTGTGTGTGTGTGTGTGTGTGTGTGTGTGTGTGTGTGTGTGTGTGTGTGTGTGTCACAGTGCCCCAAGTGTTGGACGCAATGAGCGACAGCACGGCCAGCTCCACCACAGCCAATGACCTGGACCTCATTTACCTCAAAGGCATCATGGAAAGCCCCCTGGTAGGCTTCACACAGATGCACTCGTGCACACACATATTTTAAATTCAATAAATTTTGCTGCGCTTCTGTCATTCATACTTGCACTTGCAGCACGCTCTCATCTTTGTAACCGTGTTTGTATTTGTGCGTAAGGAGCAAGAGGAGAGCCTGAAGGAGCCACGGTTGTCACCCGTGAGGGAGAATAATGTGGAGCTCCTGCAGGAGATCCTGAGAGACCTGGACCCATTCACCAATCGTTCTGACACCGCAGCCGAGCTTGCTCGCATTCTCACGCAGCCTCACTTCCAGGTGTGGAACACACAAAGTCACACACACAGTGTTTCCCACTTTGTGTTTTCACTGTATTCCAGTCACAGAGGTGGTTAATTGAAGGAAAACGAATATTTCATGCATGATATTTTGTGCCTCAGTCTCTGCTGGAGACACATGATTCAGTGGCAGCTCAAGCATGTGAAAGTCCACCTCCCAGCCCATGTGACTTTGTGGATCATGAACCAGAAGACAGCCAAGCACACAACCACCTTCCACCTGATGCCATCCGCATGGTGGGCATACGCAAAATAGCCGGGGAGCATCTGGTAGGTTATTAGAATTTGGACTGTTTGCACCTTTTGTGTTTCCCATTTAAAAACATTCAGTTTGTGAAATAATAAATGCTTGTGTGGGTTGTATGCTGGTGCCATTTGGGTTATGGATGCAGATTTTTATTAGTGTTAATGATGGAGATAATAGCCAGTAATAACTGTATTCCAGGGTGTGACATTCAAGGTGGAGGGTGGGGAGCTGGTGATAGCTCGTATTCTTCATGGTGGGATGATAGACCAACAAGGGCTGCTGCACGTCGGCGATATCATCAAAGAGGTGTGTTGCTTTTTTCTTTTTTGTTTGTTTTTTGTTTTCCTTAGTTTCATTTTCAATTATCCTCTAATTTATTGGTTTATGGTGGAACCTTGCATTTTTAGTTCTATAGGATAGTTGTTTACTTTTTTCAGTAAGTTAGTATTTGATGAAGAATATACTTTTTGGTTTCCTGCTAAGACTATCCGTCCTATGAATGCAAGAGCCGACAGAAACATGTAGACAGCTACTGCAGACTGTTCAGAGGTAACGTCTCCAAAGCTCACTTTGTAAAGCATTATATTTCCATTGTTTCATCTACATTAAAATGTGTCTCACTGTGAGGTTAACAGGAGACCAGCTGAGACTCCAGGAAATCAGTGCACCTGGCCCACTGTCCCTGTGATTCTTGGGAGTGAAGCTATTTTTACAGCAGTAGCTGTTTCACATGTCTCCAGTTTTTTTTATGCTGTTCTGAGTTCCCGCCTGATTTACATATGAAGCTTACCGATATTACCGTATTACCGTATCAATCGTCTCGTTAAGCATTTACTTATCGACTCTTGTTCTCTTGTGTTTATTTCTTCTTGAGTGTCAACTTGTTAACCGCTATGACTCAAGGTCAGGCTCAAGCATGAAGTGCCCCAGATTATTTGCGTACCTCCACAACTACCATAAGAAAAAATCTGTTGTTTATCAGCTGTTTATTGATCACGGCGTTCTGAAAGTCTAAATGCATAAATCTGTGTCCATACTATTGTTTAACCACTAGATGGGGAGGTAAACTATGTGTTCTTATGAAAGCATGGGGCAGAAACCCACAGCAGTTCAATCCCAATACTGTGCAAATGAATAGATCAGGAAAAAATAGCAAAAGTAAGGATCATTTGCTAGTGAAAGTTTGTTTTTTTGACATTTTATTCAGGGGGTTTTGGTGCTGCAGTTATTGGAGTTTCACTCCTGGAATCTGTGGAACTTTATTCATTTGAGTGGATGTTTGAGCAGATACTTACCTGTGTTTAAATACTCTGTGGTGTAGCTTGCTTGCACTGGGCAGGTCTATCCCTCCTGACAGGGCTATTGGGACCTGTTCTGGTGCTCTGTAGTGGGCTAACACCTTAAGAGTACATTTTCAGTTGTTCAATTTGTCCGTCATCTGCATAGTCCACAAGAGGCTTTTAATTTTTACATGCTTCAAAGTTCTGTAAATATTTAAGCCAACTGATCGAATTTGCAAATTTAAATGTAAAACTCTAGTCAGCTGTTTAAAACCCTTTCGCTTAACCTTTAAGACATGTAAGGAATCTTTTTTGTCATTACTCTTGTTGTCTACTTTACTGACAGGCGAATGGACGAGAAGTGGGCAGGGACCCCAGGGTTTTACAGGAAGAGCTGCAAGCAGCTAGTGGAATTGTGGTTCTGAAGATACTGCCAAGTTATCATGAATCCATACCACCTGTACAGGTGACACATAAACACACCACACACAGAATAGACACATGGGGCTAAATCTATTCTCCTTATTTGTCAGGGTTTCTATTTATTTATTTATTTTTTGGTTATTAACTGAATTTCATTGTTAGAAACTTATTTTCATTAACACTAGAACCTTGTTTTGACCTCTGTTAAATTAAAACCACGTGATCTCATATTTCATGCTGTTTTAAAAATGGATTTCTTCATCAAATACTGAATTTTGGGGTGTTTGGGATCAAAAGAGAAAAGAAAGTATAACCATTTTTACATAGAACCACCAAGGATGTTATTTCGACCGCATAGAAACTGATGTAAAATCACTGTTGTGCCACATTGGGCTGCCTAGCAATACGATTGTTTACACACATTTTGACTTAAATGCTGCTGTTACATGAGTCAGAGCTAGCTATATGTGATTGATAAATAAATATGTAGGGGAATGTAGTTAGATGAAACATGAGTAATTGCTGCTGGGCTCAGGGTGGGATATTGAGCTGGGCAGACTGTGGGACCGAAGGCATGGAGAACCAGGTATGTAACTTGCTGTGTAGGGCAGCATAGGGAACTGAAATGAACAGAGACTCCAGAGTGTGGGGAACTAATCCAAATAACTAAAGAGTGAAATCAAGAGAACAGCGCCCTGCTCACTTTCAGGCCTGAGCAGCACCTCAGCAGGTGAAGCTGCGGACTGAGGCAGGGTAGTGTGCAGGTTTGGTCTTAATTATATTTTTTAAGTGTGTAAGCTGTTGTGGTAGTTTTGTCCAGTCTTTGTTTATTTATTCTAAAGTGTGTTTTAAACTTTACAACCTGCAATTAAATTTTAAAACTCATTGATGAAACCATTCAAATCCCTCAAAATTCACCTTAAATCCTTGTTTTGCCAAATCTGACTTAAAATTAGAAAAATTTGATGAAATAAACAACTTAAGTGAACTTAAAAAATGGCATCTTTGCCATTACTGCAAGCAGCACCTCAGTAATGGCACCTGTGGTAACATGAACCCCTCCTAGCAGTTCTAGTCTTAAAGGGATTTTAACTTGGGATGCACCACTGAAATAAAGATGTGTACCTCTATGTATTTCTCCAGGTATTCTTTAAGTGTCACTATGATTATGACCCAGCCAACGACAACCTGATTCCTTGCAAGGAGGCGGGGTTAAGGTTTGAGACCGGGGATATCCTGCAAATAGTCAATCAGGATGATGTCAACTGGTGGCAGGTGACAGAATAGTATTTATGTGAACATGTTATAGCTTCCTGTGTGCACATTTTCATATCTTTGGATTGCTTTGCTAATTTTTTCTTCATTTGTTGTGCAGGCACGTCATGTGGAAGGTGGGAGTGCTGGGTTAATCCCTAGTCAGATGCTTGAGGAAAAAAGGAAAGCTTTTGTCAAGAGAGATGTGGAGCTGGCACCTGCAGGTAATATGAAAGAACGAATAAGGTTGTGATGATGGTGACTTTATTTTAACAGAGGGCCTGGATTCTAATCAAAGCATGGACGCAGTGTGTGTTTTGGGCCTTAATGAAATCATCTCACTATGGATGTAAAATATTATTAAAATACTGGTGGTTGCCAGTGTTGCTCTGCAGCCTCCTAGTGGATGGTATCAGTTAGATAATCATAGGTGACTTCCTCCTTGAATTATTGCATCACAAGATTTTCAGGAAACTTGAAGAAACCTTGAGGTCAGTGTCGCTGAGATTCAAACTCATCTGAAATTTTAGTAGCTGCACCTTCAAAATCCAAAACATTTCAAAATCCCACATTGGCACATTTTGGAGTTATAGCATTCACAAACGTGAGTGTCCAAGCTGCTGCCCTGCAGGGTGACGACAGTACTCCATCAGCCTTTTACAGCTTTGGGGTAAAAGCCAAAAATGTTTCATGAACACAACAGAATATGACCCATTTGTATTGAACTATATTAGCATATTATACTGTAAACAGAAATATAAATCGTTAATAAACATATGTCAGCAAAAAAAAAAGACTTCTGAAAGTGTTAAGTATTAAGTAGGTGTTCATTAAGGAAGGGCACTATGTTCACATGTCTGGTGTGTGTTGCTGCAGCCCATGGTTTATTGATTATTTGTCACTGCCGTGTGGTGGTGCACAAACACGCCAGGTACATGAAGTTTGCTCACATGTTTAAATTTCACAATGTGCCAGTGCACTGGTCTACAATGTTTTAAGAATATTTAGACTTAACTTTTTATAAGAAATATTTTCAATATAACATTGAGCATTATAGCATGAACCTGTATTAGATTACAAGAAAAGAAGTTTGAACATACTCCCACTTTCATATGTGGGAGTTACCCCAGTTATTATGGCATATAAGAACCATCTCTCTCTGATGTCCAACCTTTGTAAAAGAAAAAAGGTTTTCTTTGCTAAACGTTACCAGTCAATGATGTGTCATTTTTTACACTTCTGTAAATGTGAGATTTGCATAAGCATTCGAACAACTGCTAATTCAGTTCGAGTTCACAGAAGGGGTTTTGTTCTGTAAGGGAGCTCTTATCAGTAGATCCAGTAGATCTAATTCCCCTTTTAGAAGCACAAACATGAATATTAGAACTTAAAGAGGAAAAATTAAATGTGTATGAGACATAATATCTGGCAGAGACACCTGCATGAACATGACTGATCATTACAAGCCAGCTTGTGGGCAAATGAGTACAAGTTAGTAGTTGTGAAACATGACTGATGCTCATAAATTACTTTAGTTTGAAGTTTGGCTTCAGTTCTCTGCCTACACTAATGCTGTGCTCCAACAATGCAACAGGAAATCTGTGTACTGGTGTTGGAGGAAAGAAGAAGAAGAAGATGATGTATGTGACCACCAAAAATGCAGGTAATAAAACAGGGCCAGGATCAGTTTAGCTCTGCTGGGGTAAAATATTCCTACTGCTTCGTCCTTACTTTCTGCTCTTTGTTCACCCTCAGAGTTTGACAGACATGAGATACTGCTCTATGAGGAGGTGGCCAAGGTCCCACCTTTCAAGAGGAAGACTCTGATTCTGATAGGTGCTCAAGGTGTGGGGAGGCGGAGACTAAAGAATAAGCTTCTACTGAGGGATCCACAGCTCTTTGGGACCATAATTCCATGTATGAAGTCTGATATATTCCATTGCCTTATTGCTTCTTATTGCTAAAGTAGCTAGAATTGTTTTTTTGTTATATTGAGTCGATCGGTAGGCCCACAAACCCCTATGCAGGAAGTTGATTTCGGCTCTCTGATTAAAAAACATCTTGATCCCTGATCCTCTGATCAGTCCCCTCTGCATCATCTGAGTCTCAGCCAGTAGATGGTGCAGAGGGGACTCGCTCAACCTGACTGCCTTCATGTCCAGATGTCTTCCCTGCTTCCCCTGATAGGAAAAAAGCTGACTAGCTTTGCAGGTCAAACCTTTTTGATTGCACCTGTTGTGGCACTTGTTATCCTGGGATGGTTTCAGAGGCCTGTACAATAGGCCCCAAGGGAAGATATTACTGGGAAAGGCTAGAGCAACCTATTAGAGCTATTTGGACTAATATAGATCAATACTCACCTTTAATGTTTCTCAAAGGGTTGAAAAAGGAATGGCCACAGTTTAGACTTTAATAGCAGAAGATTTTATTAAAACAACTTTTCAGAGTGGGGTCTGCTACCAAATGTGGCAGACAAACTGACTAAAATGTCCACCATCCATCTAAAAATTTTTACATTTTGGGTTGGAGAGCTATGTTAGCTGGCTTGAGCTAATAAACTGATCATAGTAACTTCCCTTCCTTGTATTTGCGCAGACACCTCCAGAAAACCCAAAAAGGGAGAGCGAGAGAGTCGGATGTTTGCTTTCACTACCCGCAGCAAAATGGAAACAGACATCAAGAACGGGCGCTATCTAGAACATGGAGAGTATGAGGGCAACCTGTACGGCTTGAAGATCGACTCCATACATGAGGTGGTGGAGGCAGGGCGGGTCTGCATACTGGACGCCAACCCTCAGGTGTGCACATACAAGACTTTTCTGTTTTAGCAGTAATCATAAGCAGCAGCACCTTTACTGTCTTGTGTGAAAATTAGGGGCTAATTTGACAGAATCCTGTATACATTACACACATGCTTCTAATAGTTTCTATTGCCAGTTTATTAAAGTGAAATGCTCTAACTTACGTTGTGCTTGAGATGCTGAATCAATGTCGTTGTGCTATTGTGGTAAGCTGATTCAGTTTTACCATGAACACACTGTACAGCATTTTTGGTTTTCCTTTGTTTGAAATGGTCACAAACTTTAGATAGTTTTCATCTTTTTCTGTGACTTTGCTTTTCGCTTCTTCTTCATCTTCTCTGCTTTTCTGATCCCGTCATCAAGTCAAGGCCGCTCCGTCCACATAAAACATGGTGATCACTAACCAGTACATGGCCTTAAAGTAGAAAAATTTGCACGTGGTATTGCACATAAGCATTGTGCATAATATTGCATACAAGGGAGACTGGGCGAAGGTTAACACAGTGTATTGGATGTGTGTGTGTGTGTGTGTGTGTGTGTGTGTGTGTGTGTGTGTGTGTGTGTGTGTGTGTGTGTGTGTGTGCGTGTGTGTGTGTGTGCGTGTGTGTCATCTGAAGAGACCATGTTGTAGAATCTGACAGCAGTTGGAAGGAAAGACCTGTGAAATCTCTCTGTCCCACATGGTGGGTGCTGCAGCCACTGAAGCAGCTGCTCAGTGCTGTCAGAGTCTCCTGCATGGGGTGGGAGAGAGACTTTGATCTCCTGCATCCATTTGGGTCCACAAAATAAAACCCTCCACATTCCTCACATTGTAATCCCATGACAACTTCTCTACTTTATCTTAAATCTGTTTGACACAGTCAGTCCCATTCAGTCAACATAGTGTCATGTGCCTCACTCAAGGGCATCTTATTAAGAGTACTGATAAGAGAAAACAGTCTTTCACTCTCGTCAGTCGGTAACTTGTGGTGGATTAGCCCAGTGGGTCAAAAAGTTTAGAGCCTGCAAGAGACTCTTTCAGTCTAATGTACTTGTGTTGATTTTGCTTGCGTGTCTTAATTTTAGTCTCTCAAAGTTCTGCGGACCTCTGAGTTCTTGCCCTACATCGTGTTCCTTCAAGCTCCAGAGTTCGAGGTGCTCAAGGCCATAAATCAGTCAGCTGCAGAGGCAGGGGTCGTCACCAAGACGCTGATGGTAGGAATTGCTCACAGTACAACCATATGCACATAAAGAAGATGAATAACTCAGGAAGCAGCAAATAATGAGAAATCAGTCAAAGCAGAAGTCCTGTGATTAACAGCCCTGCTATCTGTTTTCCTTCACAGGATGAAGAGCTGCAGAGGACGTGCGATGAGAGTGCTAAAATCCAGACAGCTTATGGTCACTACTTTGACCTCAGCATTGTCAACGACAACCTCGACGAGACATACCGCACCGTCAAAGCAGCGCTGGAAACGGTTTCCAAAAACCCCCAGTGGGTCCCGGTCACCTGGGTGTTCTAGAAAGAGACGTGCTGGACTGAGGAGGGAGGGAACAAGAAAGGAAGCAGGCACTGAAAATATTCCACTGAGTATAAATGATGGGTAATGACTTTACAGGATAACTTCTCAAATTTCCATAATTTAAACAGGATATATTTTCAGTGCTGCAAAGAAAGCGTGGAATTGAAGAAGGAAAGAGATGAACGAGGAGGTGGAAAAAAACCCTTCATTTCAAAAAGTGTGCATATGCATGTGTGTTCCTGTTTACATAGAGACTTCAGAGCAAAGACATGTGCCATTACTGATGATTATCATCAGACATTGTCATTGTTTACATTTTTTGCATTTAATCAGTGCCATCTCAGTGTAACTCAGTGCCATTAGGAACAAGCAAGCTCCATCTTTCACTTTTGTAAGTGTACAGTTTCTCATCATGAAATCAAAAATAGTTTCCCACTGCCTTCTACAGTGAATGTGGATGTTTTGCATAAAGGTTAAGTTGTATAAGGTTTCCTATCAATCCCCTCACACCCATGGGTAAAGCTTTTTTCAGGTTAAGTCTGGTGAGGCCGTCATAATCTTTAAAAAATGTCTCTTGTTCTGGAGTTGGTTGAAAAGTGAAAGGACATCTCTTTCAGGCTTTTAAAAAGATTTGATTTCAACTTTTATTGGTTAGAGACACTAATCACTGAGCAATAGCATCTAAATGGTACATGACCATCAGTGGCAATAACAGATTCAATTTGTTTGAAAAGTCAAAGTTAACATCACATCCAGACCAGGGGTCTCAAACTCCAGTCCTCGAGGGCCGGTGTCCTGAACCACGTATACCTGTTGCAACACAACTGAATACAATTAGTAGGTCATTAGCAAGAGTATAGCACTTGACTATAGAACTTGACTGCATGCAACCCCTAACCCTACTAAATTTGAGTAATGTTGTTTGGAAAAATTTACTTCTAAAAGTACTTTTATTGCTCCATGTTCATTCACTCATGAGCTGCTGTAACGTGAATCAAATAGCTGAATAGCCACTTCAGTCCTCAAGGACTAGAGTTTGAGACCCCTGATCTCGATCAAAACCTAGCATGAAACCTCTCAGCCAGGTTTAAACAGAAAGAAACATTTTTTCTAGATATCTTCACCTATCATAAAAAAACAGCTCGTCACATTTCACTATAATCTCATTTTAACTTTGTTTCAGTGTGCGGCACAGTCGCTTCATTAACAGTTTTTCAATAAGTAGCATACTGGGTGGGTCACATGGATTAAACTATGATTTAGAGAACAAAAAAGAATCAACGAATATCTTCTTCATCCTATGGAGCAGGTGCTGAAAAAAATAGGACAAAGAAATAAATGAGAAGTCTGGAGCTCTGCATTCAGCTGTTAACTGTTTTTCTTAAATCATGATTTACTCATAATGCTGGCCTCTTCTCATGGTTCTGTTACTAAACCTGAAGCCTCTTTAATTCAGTTCCATGTCTAAATGTGAATGTGGCCACTATTAAGAGCAAATCATAGAATGAGTCTTAGGAGATACACTGTTCATTTAAAACAGAACTCCAGGCCTCAAGAGCCGGTATCCTGTAGGTTTTAGATGTCCTTGATCCAACACCGCTGATTTAAATGGCTAAAATCAACATGTCTTGAAGTTCTCCAGAGGCCTGGTAATGAACTAATCGTTTGATTCAGGTGTGCTGACCCAGGGTGTTGTCTAAAACCCTACAGGCCTGATTTAAAACATCACCATTTACTTGATGATTTTTTATTTGATTTCTGTATAGGTTTCTCATCATATTCCAAATTTAATAATTGTTCGCAGACACTGAAAAATTCCTGTAAGAATTCAGTCAACTCACTCCGTAACATTTTGACAGCTAATTTTGAGTTTCAGTCTTTTAACCATTTAGTTGTAGATGTATTTTAAGCTTCTAACCTCTTTTAATTTTAGTGTAGTTTTAGTCGACTAAGTATCATAAGAGTACAGTAGGCTAATCCTGAAGTTGAGTGACTTCATTTAAATATAAAGTGTAAAAGTATTTTACCAGTAAGAGTTGCTCCAAATGGTTACAAAGCATCTTATTTTCCTCAATATCCACTTTATGTCTATGTCTCATCTTCTCTTCTACTCAAGTGTTGACATTTTGTTTTGTTTTCATGACAAACAGGGAGCTTCCCTCCAACTTACCCTGTTAGTCAGCAGCAGATGAAATACGCACAACTAACCTGACCGAAAAAGAGAGAGATTATTTCTAATTGGATCGCCTCCTTTCTGCCCAGTATATATTCAATGACAACAGTGTCAATACACTTTGTCATAGTTTTTCTCCTCGAGCATTCTTTTTTATTTAGTTGTCATCATGTTTTAGGAAAACTATGATAGAAATTATTGGTCATAGAGATAAACAAATACAAATTTTATTTGTCACATACACAGTACAACATATAGTGAACATGTAGTGATATGCTTGTGTCCTGAATGACTGATATTTAACTGTGCATCATTTATGCTGATAACTTCTAGGACCAAATATGTTTGGTTGTTATAGGTGGATCTAGACCTAGAGTTCAACTAAACATACAGAGTGTCAAGAATATGGAATAAAAGTGCACACATCAGGAAGAAATCAAACAAACACAAGCTGTGAAACCGTACATTGAAGTCATTGTACAAAGCTTTCTTTCACCAGAATGAGTTATTCTGTTTCACTCATCCTGTCATTCTCAGTTAGCACTTTTCATTTTGATGTGTCTGTGATTTTTTTGTTTTTGTTTTTTGTATTTCTTGCGTGAGCTGTAAAAAGGTTGTAGATAGAATGTAGATACACAATCATATAGAAGGAATGATGCTCCCCCCTCGTATTTACAGTATGAGACATGTCAGTGGTAGCCTCAGAGTGAAGACCACAGCAGCTGACCTACATCAAAATAAATGTAAAACAGTATTTTCACCATTTTGATGTCAACACAGTGTGTTGTCTTTTGTCTGTTTTTTGTTTTTGCCCTTCAGTTGTAGTGTCACTCTCAGGCCACCGTACTTGTCACAGTTTCCACAGTGCCAACTGAAGTAAAACAAATCATTGTATTTATTTTTTAATTTCATGTGTTTTTTGTGGCAGCTACTCAGTATTTTGATGCACAATCGCTTAGCGATATAAGAAAATTTGGTGTTTAACAGTGAACAGAGTCTGGTTCTTTAGGCTGTGTTAGGGGAGCAGTTTTTAGTCAGTCTTTGTAAATAACATTTATATTTATGCTCTAGTTTTTAAAGATGGCTTCAGAAAAGCAGATTTTTGCCTGGCAGCTATACATGTGACGTCTGAATATGCTGGAATAAAACCATCATTACTCTTGAGGACATTCCAAAACCTCACTGTGTGCTTTTTTCAATGAAATGTCATGAATGCAACGGTAACGATCATCAAATCACAAAAAGATTTGATGATCTTGCGATAATAGACTTTCCTGAAGGCAAAACAACAAAATCTTTGCAGTCATGCATTGAATTAGACGGTGAATCAGTGTTGAACCTTGGAATTATTTTGTAAGGCTGCTATTAGTGATGCTTCTGTCTCTACAGAATAAATGATTCAATTATAATTATTTGTGATTATTTTTCTTCTTTCTGCATGTTTTTAGGTGCTTAAAGCCTCAAATATTCATGTGCACTTTTATATTTAATAATTTTATATTTGATAAGTTAAGTATTATAAAAGACACTTTGGAGTGGCATGATGGATGCAAGGCATTTTTCCCTCAAAACAGTTAAACAGGAACCAGCCAATGATATTGGTAATTAATGTAACGTGTGTAAACCATTACTTTTTTTTTGTCTCTCTGGCTCCTCATTTCCTCCACATAGAGATGAAAACATAAAAACAATGTCCAGCACTGTCCAGAGCACGCCAAGTCAACCCTAACCATGTAGAAATGTTGGCCAACTAGAAGCCTACCAGCAATTTATTGCACAGTCTGACATCATAAAGGGGATAATGGCACCGACCTTTGACACTGCAAGCCAGTGTTTATTTTTATTTACCACAGACATTCTGAAAACATTCAACCAAGAAAAGCATTTTTCCACCGTGGCTGTAGCTCAGGCGGTAGAGCAGGTCATCTACTGATCGGAAGGTTGGTGGTTCGATTTCTGGTTTCCCCTAGGCTGCATGCCAAATATCCGTGGGCAAGATACTAACCCCAAATTGCTCTCCGATGCATCCATAAGAGTATGAGTGTGTGTGAATATTACTTAGAAAGCACCTAGAAAAATGTGCTTGTGCGAATGGGTGTGAATGGGTGAGTGCTTTGAGTGCTCAGAAGAGTAGAAAAGCGCTATATAAGAACCAGTCCATTTAGCATTTACTTCCAGAGGTGCAGAGAAGAACACACACCCCCATCACCATCAACAGTGCTCCTGTGGAGAGAGTGAGCAGCCTCTGTTTCCTAGGTGCACATCTGGTGTAGGATTTCACATGGTCAGTTCACACGAACAAAACAGTGAAGAAGGTGCAGCAGTGCGTCTTCTTTCTCAGGAGACTGAAGAGATTCGGCATGAGCCCCAACATCCTCAGGACCTTCTACCGCTGTGCCATTGAGAGCATCCTCACCGGATGCATTACTTCTTGGCATGGCAACAGCACCACCTACAACTGGATAGCTCTCCAGAGAGCGGTGCAGTGTTCTGAAAGGTTAATTGGAGATTATATATATATATATATCTTTTATTTATTCATTTTTTGATAATTGGTGCCATGAACCCCGATTCTTTTGCGGCTGAGAGGACAAATGTGGCCGAAGGTCGGATCTGAAATGAGGTGGACAGGAGACCGGTCTAAAAAGATTTAAAGGTAGGCACAGCCTGTTCAAAAAAGCAAATTGTGCAGATTGGATGAATTCTAAATTATCTGTTGGCCGAGTTGATGAGCTTGACCGTTAAATTGGCTCAGTAGTGGTGAAAATCTGTTAAGTAGATTTCTGGTGACATGTCCATGGTGATTTTGGGTAATTTGTGACAAATAAAAAGTAAAGTCTGGGGAATATTTGATGAAAGTTTATTCCTGTCAGGGTTGGGGGAATTTTAAAGTTGATGTGTTGTGTGTTTAAAGTTGATGTGCTGTGTTTAATGTAATTGTGTGCTGTCGGCCAAGTGAAAAAGTTTAGACTAGGGCATTTGGTTAAAGGATTGTTACAAGACAATATATATTGTTACAATATATATATAATTAATCCTTATTTTCTGTTTATATTGTTTTATAGAGGCCAGTGTAGAAAATCGCCCTTGTGAGTTAGAATATGTGCCAAAAGTCACAGAGTACTAGGAGACTGCATGTCTTGTGCAGAGAACAGGAAGTTAGTGCAGAGCTGCATAGCATATTAATAAAACACAGGAAACCAAACAGAAAAAGTGGAACTAAGTAAACTGTGTGTGACGTATAGCAGAACTATGTATAACCATAGTCTGTTCTCGGATTGGATAGTTAAATTTGTGATTGACATGACATTGGCCAATCAGATGAAAGGAAGAAAAATAGGGTCAGAATTTGTACTTGTAACTTAAAACTTGAGTGTAGAGTTTCACACCTATTTTTTGGCTAAGTCCACACACAAATTCTTTTTACACATACATATACAATACTTGAAATGTGCAATTCACTTGTATTTTTATTTTTATTCCTATTTATTCTATTTATCCCCTTCGTATATTTTATTTATATATGTCTCTGTATTTATATGTGTGTGTGTGTGTGTGTGTGTGTGTGTATATATATATATAATATTCTGTAACTCTGTAACTTCTGTCGGTGCTGTGCTTTTGGAAACCGAATTTCCCAGAGGACCCACCCGAGGGATTAATAAAGTTTTATCTTATCTTATCTTATATCTTGATTTACAAGTACAAAATATTTATGACCACAATTTGAGCCCATACTAGGGCAGTAACAGGAGAGGCGAAAGTATCACCTGTATTTGGCAGTGAGTAGAAAATCCTTTGTCCATCTGCCACCATGTGCCCCCATTACATTTCTGTCTGCCACCTCACATACGCCTGTCTAGAACCAGTCCACTGTACTACCAACCTTCCAATTAAAAGATCACTAGCTTTACCTTCCTAAGTACAGACACGCTAAACAACTAATATATATTTTTTGTAGTCCACCATTTATCCATCACCTGTCATAAGCTCAATACAATTAAAGAGAATCACAAGACTTTTACACAATTTATTGTTTACACAACATGTATTAGGTTTACAGATGAAATGCTGCTTGGCTAAACTTTCTAATAAATTGTAATGACATAATAAACACACATCTTGCAGTAACTAGTATAACATTCCCAGTAAAATAGTGCATATAATAGTGATCAAAAGTTTGAAGTAATTTAGAAATATCTTTAAACAAGTAGTCAAAATTAAGTAAGAGCCATTGCAAAGAAAATCCTTATATACAAACATACAGAACTTGAGTAAGTGGCTTTATGGCTTTATGTAACAGAAGAAGTTCCTTCTCTGCTGACAGTTTCTTATGCCATAGGATGCAGTCCCACTCTTCTCGAGGACGCCACAGAAGCCATTAGTCGGGCAGCTTGGAATATTTTCATATTGCATCTGTCCTCCACCCACCCACAGCCACTCACCAGCCAGGTTACACAGGCCCGTCCACACCTGACAACATTGAACAGAGAGACAATTGTAAACATGGTGTATGAGTTTCTCAGCAACACGAATAAGCTGTAGGAAACTGTCCAACCTCATCAGTGCTAGCTTGTTGTGCTCTCTCCCGTGCATAGGTGTGGTCATCAGTAGTGATCAGTGTGGCCAGGTCTTCCTGTAGGGAGAGTTGGGATCATTTGTGTCCACTGCACCCAGAGACCTGCAGTGGTTTAATGCCTCCTCCCACGTCTTATTCTCCTTCACCAAAACCAGTTTCTCATCAAACACATGAAAGAATGATTGACATCGCAACCGTGAGTCCACCATACACCATTATGCTTATATACACAGTCTCCATTTTGACTTGGCTCTGAAAGAAGAAGCAAAGAGACACTGTTATTTGTGTTATTTACTGTTCCCAACAGCAAATAACACGCTAATGTTAATATCAACAAATGTGATCTTGCACAATCTAATAAGAACCAATAATTTGCTCTCACACCAGGTGTTATTCTAAGATTAATACTTGAGCTTTAAAACATGTTACTTACGAGAACTATCCCACTTGATGAAGCTAGCTATCTCATCTCCTCGGGACCATTTCCATGTATTTGTATTAGCTCGATATAATCCGATCCAGCCTCCAGATTTGAAAAATGTGTTCTCTTGTTCATTTCTGATTGTGATCAGGTCAGTGTGGTACTTCCTGCAGAAGGTCTGGGCATTTGTCCAAGTTGTCATGTAAGACCCAGAGTAAGGTTTAAAGTTTAACAGATCCCCACAGACAGGAGAAATAAAAAGCAGCAGAGGGATGAGAAGGCACATCTTCCTTAGGATGCATTGACACTGTAACAAAAAGAAAAAGGGTCGCAGAGAAGAAGATTGGAGTTTTTTGCGCAGCCATGTTTCACCGATGAAGTAGTCAAGTGTCTCTCTGAGCAATGACAATGTAGGACAGATGATGACATTAGGAAATGTGGATGAGTCTTGGATTAAACAAGAACTGTATAAATGTAACTGACATTTAGTCACAGTAATATTACTTAATCAACTCAATATTTTACCTAATGTACTTGTTTGATGTCATCCTACGAGACTTTCACATTAATCATGTATGGTACAAATAACTAAAACAGTAAACTTTGTAAATCTTGTAAACTTTTAACTTAAAGAAAAAAAAAATTGGCTAACAACTTGAACAGTCTTTTCTAGTGAAGTGGGGCATGCATAGGTGATATACTCTCAGCAGGTTAAACCATTCATTGCACTGTGTGTCAGCTTCTACAGCAGAACTCACCTTGACAGCAGATAATGGGGAACCTTTGAAGCTCAGGGTCTCCTGATGATGCTTTTTTTTTTATCAAGTCTGTGAGATACTCATGGACTGTGATACTTGTCAAAGCTTTTCTTTAGCATAGACTCCGCCTTTGTTTGAAGCATTTGAATAGCTCTGGCTTTCTATCCTCAATTTCATTTAAATCTTTCTGAATTTCCAAAAAGATGCTAAGCAGCATTCAAATGTGGTTTTGTGTTGGGGATCTTCGTCCTTTCTACTTCTCTTTTTGCTGTCAATCCTTAGAGAAATAATCGTTTTGCATCTCTGTAATGTAAGGATTTATAAAAACATTTATGTTTATAGAACACTCTTTTCTGCTAAGTTCCAACCAACCTGTCAAATCTTATTATACTCACTTCGCTCTTTCATTGGTTTTCTCCACCTGCAGCAGCTAAACTCATTTAAAAAATAGAATATATTGAAAAGTTGTTATTGCTGGTATGTGATTTCCTGGTAATTGTCATAGATTTAATCCCCAACAAATTTACTTTCCCCACTTGATAGTCAATTTAGAACTTTTATTTTATTCTGAGTTATTACAATCACGGTGTACGAGACCGGGAGATGGAAAAGAAAAAGAAGAAAGAAAGAAGTTGGGGAGAAAGTTAACAG